AATTTCAAGACTTCTTTCCTACTCTCTGGATATCCTCTTTTATAGCACTCTATTCTTTCACAGGTGCCATATTTTCTTATAGCTACCTGAGCATGTTCATTTTAATTATGATAGAGGCTTTTTTCCTTCTCTTTTTTTTAGGTTTTCCTTGTTCCACGCATGGTTCCTATTTCCTCTGTGTTCCTATTGTCTATTTGTTTATTTCAGTGTTTCTCTTTCATGTGAGGGCCTGTTTCAAATATCTGGTGATCCTTGGCCATCTGTTCACGTTTTACAGTGAGCCTCAGAAAAGCTAATTGGACACCTGGGGGTGGAGGGCGATGTCAGGCGTGTTGACTGATGGGACTCTCAACTATCAATATCTTTAGGTCATTTCTCTTGAACTCCTCAGTGTCCCTAGAAAGGAACCCTCCAACCTCCTGCTACAGGGAGTTCAGTCGGGCAGTCAGCCTTTAGGAGAGCAGCAGGGAAGAGAGCAGCAGGAGAGTTCCACCCCCACCTTCATCTGTGCCTATGTCCCTTGTCCACAGCCTGTGACACCAACCTTTCTGAAAGACTTGGACAATTCACCTGGCTATTCAAGGTGGGGGGGGGCAGATATTGGGGGTCTAATTCCCTATTTTATAAACTTTCAAACAGTCCTGTTTTGATCCTACCTGTACCTTCACCTTCAGAGGATCCCAGTGTCTCTGATTCCTGAGCTTTTTGAGGTTACAAAGGACTTCATCACCCAGCCTTATGACACTCCCTTTGCAGGCACTTAACATTGCCCAGGAAGCAGAAACCAAAGCAGTTATCGCTCCTCCACCTGCTTTTCCATCTTCCAGTGTGTGACATCCCTTGTCTTCTATTCCTCTTTTCCTTGTAGGTTTATACCTGTACCCCTTTAACTCTCATGTCAGTTGGGTTTGGGAAAGAAGCTGAGCAAAGTGCACATCTCCACACCAGCATGTTTACTCAGCCTCCTTCCTTGTGTCTCCTCAGCGCTTTACTGTGTACCCATGTGAGAGTACTTAGTGCCTTGTACTTAGCTGTTTTCTTGGCTCTCTCTGCAGTAGACTAGGAAGACAGGAATCAAGTCAAATCACCCCTAGTGTCTAATACAGCACCTCGTATACAATAGTCAGTTTCTAAATGGTGCTGAATAACTGGATGAGCAAGTTGGCCTCCATCTCCCATCTCCCATCTCTAAGAGGAGGGCTTTGGAGCCCTGGTGTCCAGCTGGCTGAAATTCTTCTGGGAAGTTGGGTGGTCCCTGGAGCCACAACAGCTGTGCCATTCCCAGGAAAGTTTGGTATCTCTGGAGCACCACCATACATGTCTTCCCACCTCTGTTTCAGGGAGCAGTGTGTGCCCAGCCCTGCCCACCAGGAACATTTGGCCAGAACTGCAGCCAGGACTGTCCTTGCCACCATGGAGGGCAGTGTGACCACGTGACTGGACAGTGCCACTGTACAGCTGGATACATGGGGGACAGGTAAGGATAGTGTTAACTGTTGTCTTTGCTGTCCATTTTACTCATTCACAGGAGCCTTGCAGAGAACAGCTCATAGCTCTGTCTCTGCCAGCCTTCCAGTTCCTTTCTCAGAAAGCACTCTGAGCTCTCCTGCCAGAGAGAGTTGGCACCTGATCCCTCCTCACCCTCGGCCTGCAGAGACACCCTCTTCTCTGGCCTAGTGGCCCAAGCCCTGAATTTGCATGGGCTCACCTGGGGGAAGGACGTGAGCACCTGCCCCCACTCTCTACTCTCTGCACTCATGGAGGGAGGCAATGGCACAGATAATCCAAGGAAGCTGAGAGTGCAAAACCATTTCACATGTTTTGCACGATTTCTTCTGGAAGGGGATTTTTAGTCCTAATTTGGGTTCCACCAAAAGGATACTGGCATCAGTTTGCATCCTCTGAAGGCCTTCGGCTTAAGAGCAGATTGAAGGAGGGTGCCAGTGTCCCGGAATGAAACCAGCCTTGCAGAGTGGATAATCAAAAAACACAGAACTGGCAAATTGCCATATGTGCACATGTGTCACAGCTGGAAGAAGGAGGCCATGATGACAGGGCAGGTGCAGAGGAAAAGGGAGAAACCAGCGTGTGTGATGGTGAGTAGATTGGAAGCTGGAAAAAGATACTTGAAACCCACAGAACCCAGGCCAAGTCTCCTCCTTCTCACTCTTGACCACATCGGTCTCTTCAAGCAAAGAGCTGTACAGAGGTGGCCCCCACACCCCATGCCTGGTTCTGTGGGGATCCATGTTTCATTTCTGTCTCCTGGATTTTATGCTCTTCTCAGACAAAATGAGGAAACATTTTTCATCATTCCCTGCCTGGGTGACATCAGGAAGCCAGGAGGGAGGCTGAGTTAACCAATGAATCCCTCTGTTTCTAACAGACATAATCGGGGCTTCTCCAGCTCTCACTAGAATCAGCCCCAAATCCTTAGTGATGTCCAGAAAAGAGACTGTCCATTAGCCTTGGGCTGATTTACCTCCGGCTGGAAGTCTTTTAAGCCAGATCTGATCTCTTTGTGAGCCAGTGTTCATCAACGTGAGCTTCCCCAGCGTAGAACGTGGGGTATGGCATCTGGGGATCCGTCCCTCCCTGACCCGTGGGAGGGAGGGCTGAAATATTGAGTCCAGTTCCCATCCTCATCATCTCCCCAAATAAGGAAATGCTCAGGATGAGCCAGTATGGACTGGAACCAGGGAGACCCTCAAGCCAGCACAGGACTCCTTTGTCAGTCCACTTTCTCATGAGAGTGCAAACCGCTCGCTTGTTGTTGGAAATGAGCAGGCCCAGCACTCTAGCCGGCTAGACTCCACATGAGTAGACCCTAGTTCATTGGTGCTCTCGATTTTCCCTGTAAAGATGTGCCAAATAGAGAAATAATCCAAAATCTCTCTGCTTGTTGGAGCCTGGTCCATGATCCTGGGCAGAGAGAAACCTCTAAAGCCAAGGGGCCCTCCAGCAAGCTTTGTCAATCAACCACAGGAGAGTTCAATAGGAGGCCAGGCAGCATTTGGGCTTCTCACCTAAACGGGCTGCCTGGTGTTTAATATTTTGTAAAATTGCCTCCATTAATTTCGTAGGTGACAGCTGCATTAACCCACCCAAATCATCACAAGCATATTAAAGTTGAGTGGGTGTAATAATGCAGGCCTCCCCGGATAGGCAGAAACCAGTGCAAATTAAACACGAAATGTAACGAGGGCTTTGCAGCTCATTTTGTAATTTAATTGAGCAATGTATCTGGTTGTTAATGGCAATATCGGACACATTAGATTGATATGGTGCAAAGGAAGAATGTTTAAGTAGAAAACTAATTCCTGCTGTGATTACCCTTCTGTTCCACGGGCCCCGTTATTAGCATGCTTTGTGTAAAATTCATTAGCTGTCGTTGCTTGATCTCTAAATAAATAAGTTGTTTAAATTGTGAGTAGGGAAAAAAAAGAGGCTGATTATGTAAATGAATGAGGTTGTCAATATTTCATTTCCAGATTGCTTTTCTGGGGCTGTAGATTCGGTCACCCGAAAAATGTAGTGGGCTAGGGAATTGCCGTTCTGAGGAGCTTAGGGTTCAGGGCTCTGTCCAGTCCTGCTAGGCAGGAGGGAGCAGGAATGTTTGAAAAGGAGCAGGTATCAGGAGGTATCTGGTTTGAGTTTTTTCACCCGACATTTGAGAGACATTCGAGGCCAGCAAAGCACAGAGACTTCTGGAGAAATCCATTTGCAGGCTGAACAGGGGCTGGCAATTCAGATAGTGATTATTCAGGTCTTCAGCTGCTCTTTTCCTCCCTTCTGCCGCAGTTTCCCTCCTTCCCTTCCCCCATTCTACTTCTCCTCCTTCTGTCTTCTACTTTCCATTCCTTCTCCAGACATCCCTTTCTTTTTTGCCTCTTCTTCCCTCTTTTTTCTGCTCTCTTTCCGTTCATGAGGCCTCAGATTGACTGACATGTGACAAGATTTGCAGAAAGACAATCTGGGGTCATCTTGGCCCCATGCAGGCTGCGTGAGCTTGGAGCAATTGCCTCACTTGTCCCATGGCAGCCTCCTTAACTCCAAAGTGAGGGTGATGAGAATATCTGCTGCTCCAGGGGCTGGGGACAGGCTCTGGGGCCTGAACAGCTGGAAACCCCTCGGTATATGGTGCCCACGGCTGGTGTTGTCCTCATGATCCCTGCTGCCCCATTATTCTACCAGATCACTCCTTTACACAGTGGCTCTGAGAGGAGACAGCTGGCGGCATCTTCTTAGGAAGGAAGCACTCAAGGCCAGACCCCAGTCACTGTCCTCTTCTCCTTGTCATTGTGGGCACAGAGCAACGAAAGCACAGAAGACAGACAAGGACACCCCAGTCTCAAGTTGCCAAAGCTGGTGCCCCACACACTGGCTGCTCTCATCCGCCACATACTTGCTAGCTGGCCCTGCCACATCCACGAGGGTCTGGCCACTCATCCTCACCGTAAACAACTGAGTCACCCAGACACAGAATCTCTCTGCCCTGTCTATAGAAGAATACTTCCACTCCCATGATCCTCCAGAATACATAATAAAGAAGTTAGAACTGTATTTTTTTTTAAATTGCTTTTCCCCTCTGATTACTGTAGAAGATATATAGAAAACCTAGAAAATTGAAACATATGATAATTAAAACACTGACTCCTCAAATCTACTCTACTATCAACATTTTAGAATTTTTCCCTTTGGGCTTTTTCATGCCTGAATTTAAGGCCAGAAGGTCAGATGGGCTCTGTTATAAGAACTGTTGAAAACAATATTAACATGAGTACTAATGAAAATAACTAACTTTTCGAATTGAGCCCCAATTATGGGCTGGGCACCTTTCTATGTTGCACACATTATCCCATTTAATTCTTGCAGAACCTGATGAGATTTAGTGAGTATCATCCCATTTTAAAAAAAGGAAGAAGATGTCAGAGCTTTAGGTTAGTTCTCCATTATCCGCACTGTTGAATCAGTGCTGGAACAAAGATAACTCAGAACTCCAGAGGCCATTTCCATTTGTCTTTGGGATGCAAGAAGTTGTCTCCCTCTTTTACCCCTTATTCCCCCAGGTTTACCCCTTGACTTATCCGGATCTAGTTGCTGTGACAATAAATTTGCATCCCCTGGGAAAGAGCCCAGGGTAGGGGTAATGGGTGTTGAGGCACATTCAGGAAACCAGGTGGTTAGCAGTGGAGGTCACACTCACCCACGGAGGAGCCACACCCTTGGCTGTGAGTTAAATGAAGTTGAATAATTATCCTCATGTTGGCAGCTCCAAGTACTAGCCCAGACATGCATAGGACACAAAGGGGGTCCCAGGCTTCCTCCTTGGGGGCTCACAGGCTGATGGGAGAGAGTCAGCCCCTACCTTGAGGGGACGCTCTTCCAAGGAAGGGAAAATAGCCCTTGTCACAGGGCATTCTATAGTCCCATGAAGGAGGATGCTTCCTGTACTCAAGGGAAAATCCAGAGTCAGGGAGGGGACATGTCTCCCAGTAGGACAAGAGAGACTCTACATCTGCCCAAAAGGCTCACAAACCAGAGACACTGTATAGAAACAAAATCACCCCATTTCATCAGATCTAAGGTGCCACTGATTGTGAGATGCATCATTATTTCATACACTGCAAAGAAGGAAAAACACTGGCAATTAAACTATGATGATGTCATCAGACATAAGACTTATCTGATTAATTTCAGAGATATAAAAATATATTTGAAAAACAAGGCGGCTCGTGCCTGTAATCCCAGCACTTGGGGAGGCCGAGGCAGGCAGATCATGAGGTCAAGAGATTGAGACCATCTTGGCCAACGTGGTGAAACCCCGTCTCTACTAATAATACAAAAATTAGCTGGGCGTGGCGGTGCACACCTGTAGTCCCAGCTACTCGGGAGGCTGAGGCAGGAGAATCACTTGAACCTGGGAGGCAGAGGTTGCAGCGAGATTGTGCCATTCCAGCCTGGGCGACAGAATGAGACTCTGTCTCAAACAAACAAACAAAAAAACAAGGTGTTTTTAAACCTACCTAAATGGTTTTTTGTTTAACGGGTGCGGAGTTTCAGTTTGGGAAGATGGAAACGTTCTGGAGATGGGTGGTGGTGATGTAGCACAACAGTGCGAATGTGCTTAATGCCACTGAACTGTACGTAGTTAAAATCGTCAATTCTATGCTGTGCACTGTCTTAGTCTGCTCATGCCACTATAACAAAATACCCAAGACTGAGTAATTTATAAACAACAGACATTGATTCTCACAGTTCTGGAGGCTGAGAAGTTCAAGATCAAGGGGCCAGCAGGTTTGGTGTCTGATGAGGGCCCCAATCTCTGCTTCCAAAATGGTGCCTTGAAGCCTGTATCCTCAGAGGGTGAAAGGAATAGAAGAGCCAAAAAAAAAAAAAAGGGACCTCAGTGGCTCCCTGTAGCCCTTTTATAAGAGCGCTAATCCATTCATGCCCTAATCACCTCCCAAAGGTCAAAGGCCACACCTCCTCATACCTTGGCATTGGGTGTTAAGTTTCAATGAGAATTTTGAGAGAAGCATTTAAACCATAACATGTATAGTTCACCACAACTTTAATTTAAAAAAAAAATATTAGGCTTAGAATCAATAAAATACGGTAATACAAACTCATTGCTGGGGTCACTGAGGAGACCTGGCGTGAAAGGCAGAAATGACTGGGGTGAACTAAACCATGGAATACTTCCTGGAGGAGGAGAGAGAAAAGGGGAGGAGGCTGTGAGCAGGATGGAGCACACCAGGCCTGGGCCAGGTGACCAGGAGGACCACATCCTGGAGGATCTCGAAGCACAGGTGAGGGATCCCGGCCCACAGCCTCAGCCACACTCTGCTCTCCCACAGGTGCCAAGAGGAGTGCCCCTTCGGGACCTTCGGCTTCCAGTGCTCACAGCGTTGTGACTGCCACAATGGTGGGCAGTGTTCACCCACCACGGGTGCCTGCGAGTGTGAGCCTGGCTACAAGGGCCCGCGCTGCCAGGAACGACTGTGCCCAGAGGGCCTTCATGGCCCAGGCTGCACCCTGCCCTGCCCCTGTGACGCTGACAACACCATCAGGTATGAGCTGGGAACCGGCGAGCTCGGGACAAGGGCGGGGGGTGCTCAGGTAGAAAGGAGGCTTGCTAGGATGTGGCCCCCCCACCTCTGGCACGGACATCCAGGCAGGGTGGGGAAAGGGCTAGGACCTTAGCACTGAGCCCTGAGAACTACTTTGATGAAAAGAAGGGGAAGCCAAGGCCACATAGCCACAGTCAGGACTAGAGCCAGGTCACTCAACTCTGTCCACCACACCTGGCTGCCTGCATTTCCAAATGTGCCTGTCTGAGACTCCACACATGGGAGCAAGAAGGGAGCAAGGAGGTGGGGTGGAGCACAGCTGCATGACCCTGGGGGCTGGGATGGCAGGGCTCGGGTGCCGCAAGCTCTGAGCACATTGTCCTGGAGAATATTTCCCCTCCACTTGTGTGGCATCCAACCAGAGCCAGGGCCACTAGGGCAGAAGTAGAGGCTTGAGCTGCAGAAGGTCAGGACTAGAAAGGACCTTAAAAATCAGTAGGGCCATCCCAGGGCCTAGAGAGGGTTGTCCCAACAGGCCCTGGCAAAGGTAGAGAAGCAGGAACAACAGGGGCAGCCCTTTATCAGGGCCTGGACTGGGGGCCAGCCCCTCCCTCAGCACTCTGTGTCCTTTGTGGCTTGGGGACATCTGGGCAGAATTTGCCCCCCCATCCCCCACTTCCAAAGGAGTCTGAACCTGTGAAGCCAGTGCTGCTCTGGGCTACTACTCCCAGCTCCCTTCCCTGCCCGCTTCATGCACCAGTAGGCACTGCCCCGGGGTAAAAATTGAGGCTGCCAGCCCCAGATAAATGCCCCCACAGCCCTTTATCGTGGCTGCCTCTTATCTGGGTGATGAAGGTCAGGGGAGCATCCCTTCTCCCTCAGGCCTACGGACAGCCCAGGGAAGACCAGCCACCCTGGGCATGGGTGCTGCTGCTGTTTGCAGGGCAGACAGAGAATCCCTCTGCTTTGCAGCCCTGTCCCTGGGACAGCCAGGACTTAGCCTTGGCCGCTCTTCGCTTCCAGGCTTTGATCTTTCACAAATCACTCTGGAGCTTCGTTCATTGCAAGCAGAGGCATCTCAGCAATGGGCTATGAGTCAAACGAAAAGGTCCTCCCTCCCTAGAGTGGAGCAGCTGGAGTGGTATGAGGCAAAGGTGGAGCGCCCAGGAAGGACATTGTCCAGAGAGGGTGCTAGAGCCAGTGGAGTTGGACTGTCCATGACCTGAGCATTCATTCACTGGGTCATTCATTCAGCAAACACTGAGCGCCTGCAGGGCTGGGCTGTGAGGAGGAAACACTAAGCACCTTCTACCATATTTCTTCAAATACAAGACAATAATGGTAGTGAGGCACAGCTTTATTTGGGTTACTACTAGGAAAATTCTATCAACTGAACCATGACACACCATTGATTGTATAACATACCCAATATCAGAGATGTGAAAATGTAGAGGAGAAGTACATCTTAGAATTGGTGAAATATATGTGGCTGGCCCTGCTAGGTTCCAACATGTGCCCAAGTAACTGTGACCCAGGACTATGTGATGCTGGTCAGGGAAGGCTTCCTAGAGGAGGTGGCATCTGGGCTGGGCTTGGAGAGCAGAGCGAGAGCTCCAAGGCGCTAATTACAGAAGTCCCACATGGCTGGTCAGGAGACTGGGCCAGCTGGCTCAGACTGTTCCATGTGTCTAAATATTAATATTCCAGGATCTGTCGCTGTTGGGAAGCTGAGGGAGGACCCTCTCCAAGACAGGAAGCAAGGCTGATGCCGGGGTCAAATGCAGGGAGCTCCTGCCACAGAAATCTAACCAAGCCCCAAATTAAAGGGCTAGTGTTCTCCTCCTGTGCCTGGGCAACTATGCCCTGTATAATTCATCCTTCCTCTGAAGGAGTCCTCGATGCATTATTAATCGGACAGGACTCCCTCTTCTCTCCCACTAATCTCAGCCCATCCAATATTGATGATTATTTGCTTTACTGTCTTTAAAACGTATCATGTGTCAGGGACTGGGAGGGAGTAGTGGTTCTTCAGAGTGGGGGCTCTGAGTGTGCCCACCAGTCGACTCCCCAGCCTGGTGTCCTCTGAGTCTGCATCACCATCTCCTTGAGGAGGTGGGCTCCCTGAGGGCACCAGCACCCTGGCTTGTCCATTCCTGTGACCTCTAGCCTCAGCATTGCACAGTGCCTGCACAGAGTAGGCCTTCAGTAAGAGGAATCCCTGAACTCATCTTAAATAGCTCATCCCTCTAGGAGGTTCTACCCATTAGCTGAAGTCAACCCCATTTTTTCAAAAAAACATATTTCCCCCTTTCTCTTGGTACACTGGCCCACTGAGCCCCTGGCACAAAGTTTTTGTTCATTTGAGGTTAGGGTTTCTCAACCCCGCCACCATGAACATTTTGGGCTGGGGAATTCTTTGTTGTAGAGGGCTGTCCTGTGCTTTGTAGAATGTTGAGCAGCATCCCTGGCCTCTACCCACTAGATGCCAGTAGCACCCTTCTTCCACTGCCCAGTTCTGACAATCAGAAATGTTTCCAGACATTGCCGGATGTCTCAGGGTGGGGCGGGGCAGGAAAAATTCCCGGAGGTTGAGAGCCTCTGGGCTAAATGAACTCTCTCATGCTGCACTCGATTGTTCTTACGGACATCAGAAAACAGCTCTTCCTCTATGTGGATAGAGGGAAGCCCCTCTCTTCCCATGAGCCTTTTTTGGCCCATTATAGAGTCTTCTCTTGAGATTCAAGAAAAGCCAAGGAATGACTGTGTGACTTCTAATCTTAAGACAGTTAAAGTTCAGGTACTGAGTGGGGATTGGGACTTCTGAGTCCTGCCCTCAAACCTACCTCTGTCTAAGCAAGTGTTCGTAATAAGGGCACTTGATATATGCACATAAGATATATGTCCTTCTCCTCTCTATGCATAAATTTCCCAATCTGTCCATCACCTTTCATCAACCCAGTGGGGGGAAATGTTCTCCTGTGGTCTTTGAAAGTGAAGCTTCCACCCAACTCCCTGAGAGAAGGAACGTGGGATCCCTAGAAGCCTAGCCTCAATGCTCCCTGCCTTCTGCAGAACTTACAACAAAGCCCCCACCACAACAGCGTGCAAGGTCTTGAGCATCTTTGCTAGGGAGACAAAGTAATCCCAGCCCCCAGCCAAAGAAAGCGCTATCCACCCAGCTCCAGCCTCTCTCTGGTCTATGCCCTTCCAGCAAGGCTGCTGCACAGAGGTTGAATCCATGCCCTGGGAAGGAAGAAGTGGCTGGTAAGATTCTCCAACTCTTCATTCCCGTTATCAACTCTTTGTAGCACACAAAAAGAAACCATCCTCCTTCATACAGGAATAACCTTGAGAAAGAAAGCACCTGTGTGTATGGGCTCTTAAATGTCCCCTCCACAATTGGATTGTCATAGACTAATTCCAGCAGCCATGATCGTGTATTGCCTTTGAAAGATTTGATTCAGCCAACAGATGCAGCATTGATAGAATGCTCATAGCATTCTGAAAGAAAGCATCTCATAGCAGCTGAAAGAAAGGCAGAAAAATCCACTCTGGAAGGATTCCTGTATTGTTCAGCTTTCGGTTCCTATTAACTTGTGATTAATCTATGTCTGGGGGAAATGGGAGAAAAGAAAAAACCAGAGAGAATGGAACCAGGCTAAACACCAGTGACTGTAACTTCTGCCTGAGCCAAAAACAGCAGCCCCTGGCCTGCCATGTGACTCAAGAGAATGGGGACCACCACCGGGAAGAAGGGATGCCTGGGAGAGGGGCTATGCAAGTCACTCTGCTGAGGGACAGAGGTTCCAAGCATGGTGGTCGCAGCTCTCCGTCATGATCAGTCAGCTGTCACTCTCCATCCTCTTTTCAAAGGGATGTTTGGAGTTCCTATAAGACGAGTAATCAAATTAAGAAAGTAGATACCCCATTTCTAGAAATGGGATATTGTAGGGATATGAAAAAAAAGGAATGATTTTAGATTTGGTTTTGAGCCTTCTGGTTCTCAGAGTAGAGTAAAATTAGTGCCTAATGTATCTCTGAGCAGCCAAAGTGACAGCAGCAGAGATCAAAAGCAGGAAATGCAGAGTACTTAGGTCAGCATTTGCTAGCTCGATGGGTATGGAGCATGCTTTTCACAAGGTGGTGCCCTCACCAAAGTGAGAGCGTGTAATGGATGAACTCCAGCGTGACCATTTGCTAGGCAGAGACAGCAGAAGGATCTATTGATGGAAAAAGCAGAAAGGTGCCTGAGACCTTTCAGAGTCTCCAGTGCTCAGCAGAACTGATGGCTGCAGCCAAGACCTGCCAGGCCATTCCTAGATTCAAGCACATCAGTCTCCACAACCGTAACTGAGCCAGTCTCTCTACACTAACCCTAAACCTCAAAGGAAGCTCTTGGAAAGATGCAACCTAAAGAGAAGAGTGCTCCAAAACCATCTGCAGAGCAGCAGGGCCACCAAGGAGCACAACTTCCCCACGGTACCCATGCAGGCTGCTGTCTCCCCTTCCAGTGCCTTGGGGCTCAGGGAGGAATTTTTCTCTGTAAAGGTCAGAAAGTCTTCGAACACTCATCATTTACACCCATTCCTCTTTGTTAGATACTTACAATTTTTATTGCTTTACATCTGTTTATAAATAGAATAAATGCTCAATTTTGGTAAGTTAGGGAATACGTAGACATTTAAAGAAAAAACTTAGAATCAGTTTCTCAATCCAGAGATAAGCACAAAAGCCATTTTGTGGTCATCTGTCGATGTCTGTATCATTTTCATATTTTAGATTTGATATATTGTCATAGTTGAAAGATTTGATTTAGGTAACAGATGCAGCATTGATAGAAATGGCTTTGTATACGAAGTGCTTATTTCACTTAACCTTGTATCATTAAACATTTTGAAAAACAATTGAATACATCTCTTAGCATTCCTTCACATGGATGTTATAATTCATTTAACCAATACCCTGTGGTGAGAGGTGGCATGAGGCAGTGGACAAAATGTGGCCAGACAGACCTGGGTTTGAATCCCAGCTCTGCCACTCACTGTCTTAGCTATGTGACCTTGGGCAAGTCACATAACCTCTAAATGCCATCTGTGAAATACAGGCTCAAATGCCCAATTCACAGGTTTATTTGAAGATTAGAAATATATGTATAAATTTCCTGGTGCCTCAATAGCCTGGCCACATATTATTTATTATTATTTAAATTGCTTCCATTTTCCACTGTTATAAATAATGCTTCAGGGAACATCTCCGTGCATAAATCTTTCTCCACAACTATGATTATTTCCTTAGGATAGAGTCTTAGAAATGGAATTACAAGACCAGAGTCTGAATACTTTTAAGTCTTCTGATATGTAACCTCAGATTGTTTTGAAACCTTTACCAGCATTTTAAAGCATAGTCACTGTTTTGATGGAGGAAAAGTGGTGTCCAGTTGTTGTTCAGACTTGATGAATAATGAGACTAAATACTTTTCTGAAATGATTACTAGCTACTTGCACTTATTATTCAAGAATTGCCTGTTCCTGTCCACCCCCTCATTTTCTGTGAGAAAACCAGGGTCCCTAGAAGAGAAACAGCTTGGCTAGGCTTCACACAATTAGTTTGCTCATTAATTAATTTTCTAAATATATATTAAGCACCTCCAGTGTGCCAGGGACTCTGCTGGGCCCTGGGAAGGAAACAAGACAAACGGCTGTCCCCCATAGAGCTGCAACCTAGTGGAAAAGACAGATGATAAATCAGCAGAAACGAAGAAAGAATCAATGGAAGATAATTGTATTTAGAGGAAGCCGTATTCATTTCCAGATATTCACCAGGGCAGTGAATATGAGCCAGGTGTTGGGGATCCATCAATGGTCCAGCGGGGCAAGGCGCCAAGGCCCCATGGAAGTTAGCAGAACCAAGACTTGCCCCAGGTTCCCCCTGCCAGCCCAGGGCATGCTTCTCTTGACCTTATCCCCGGAGCTGGGCTCCAGAGCAGGGAGGCAAATGCCACAAGGAATCTAAAAGGCTTGTCTCTACCACCCAGCACTTCTTTGGTGTGTTAGTCTGAGCCCCTCCAGAAGCAGATACCAAGAGCAAGAGGTTTACTAGGGGAAGCATCTGTGAGAGAAAGTGGGGAGGGAGCTGGGGAGGCTGGGAGAGCTGACAGATCACATGTGAGGAAGGAAGGAAGGAAAGTTGGGAGAAAGAGTCTTAACTCACAGCATGGTTCTAAGAAAGTTTGCCAGGATGGGGCATCTTAAAGCCAAGGTACCCATCAGAGGAGTCCCAGATCTCCCAAGAGTGTGCCCACCCTAGTGTCCCTGCTGTGCTCCAGCTGGAAGTGGCCTGGGGGAAATGTGGCCTCTGGATTTCAGACTCAGCACTGGGGCCATAGGTTAATTATGCTCCTGCAGGAGTTCTGAGCAGCACATGGTTACAACCAGCATCCCGCTGACCATGAATGGACATCAGCTGTTGGATCAGATGGCTGCCAGCTAGAGGTTGCCCGACTCTCTGGAGGTCATGCCAGGGATCCCCTGCCTCTAGCCGAATGGTCCTTTCTCTAGCCTAAACAGGAGACGGAGAAGAGCTTGCTCACTGTTAAAGAGCCTGGCAAAGCATAGGTTGGGGTTGCTCTGTCCAGGACAGACATTGCCAGAGAGAGGAGTCACGTCTGGCCCAAAGTCTTGTTTTCACTCAACCCAACATTCATTGAACACCTACAATATTGAGAGCCACTGGCGTATCACTGCTTCCTTCTCGTCCTGTTCCCACACCAGGCATTCGTCTTGGGTGAGGGATGGATGAAGCCTTGGACAGCATAGTCTATAAGCCAAGGGACTAAAAGGCCACTCTCTCTTTTGGTTTCCGTGTGTCTGAATTATAAAGAAGACTTGTGTGGGAGTCAGAAGCCCTGTGTTCTCATCCTGCTCTTGTCTTCTCCTTGCTGTTGACTTCAGGGTAGTTATATAATCATCCTGAGCCTCAGCTTCTGGGTGGTAATAAGATCATGTGGCCTTGGCATCCTCTGATAAACAGAAAAGGCATTGAGCATTTTAATCCCAGAGGTCCTTTGATCCCGCTACCCTGGGCAAGCCAGGCTTGGGGTGGGCAGAGGGCGGGCACAAGGCTGCTTCCTAGAACGAACTGTCTTCTCACCCTTCTCTTATCTGTGCAGCTGCCACCCAGTAACCGGAGCTTGTGCCTGCCAGCCAGGCTGGTCTGGCCGCCACTGCAATGAATCCTGCCCTGCCGGCTACTATGGCGATGGCTGCCAGCAGACTTGCACCTGTCAGAATGGCGCCGACTGCCACAGCATCACTGGGGGCTGCACTTGTGCCCCGGGCTTCATGGTAAGATGGGAGGGGCCTCCTGTGGCCTTCCTGACCCCCACTGGGCCAGCTCCCCTCACCTGCTGGTGCAATCAGGAATGTGGCTTTGCACCCAGCTGCCCCCTTGTGTCTGCCTCAGAGATAGACTCCATGAGGGGAGAGCCGCTGAGGCTGTTCTCAAAGGGCCAGGGTTTGTAATACTAAAAATAATAGGAGGGAGAGGGTCTTTCCATCACCCCCAACTCTGAAGGTTGCCTTCCTTTGTGCCCAGCTCCTCCCTGTCCATATCCTTATGCACACAATATTTTTACATCAGAAAACCACAATGCACAGAGACAGTTTTGCATTCTGCTTTCTTTCACCCACATTGCTATGTTGCTGCTTGGGCTTCTTAATTATGGTTTTAAATGGCTGCATAACACTGCAGGAGTAGATATACCCCCAGTTTCCTCAGCCATTTTCTTACTGCTGAATATTAAGTTGTTTCCAGTGTTCACAGCGAATGTTGCGGTGAGCATCTTCATACAAATAGCATTTCCCCCGCCCACCCCCAATGAATTATTTCCTTAGGGTGAATTCCCAGGGTCAGTGGGCATAATATATTTACAGCTCTTGATGGATGTTGCCATATGACTTCTCTCAAGGGTTCTATAAATCTACACCGCCACAAATTGTGTATGAATGTACCTATTTCAGAATAACTTTGCTAAAATTTTATAAATTTTTGCTAATTATATAGGTAGAAAATGGTTCCTCAATGTTGTTCTAATTTGCATTTCTCTGATTATGAGGGAGAGTGAACATCTTCCCTATGTTTGTTTACAATTTGTATCTTCTCATGAATTATGCTGGTCTTTATGAGGTTTGTTTTGGGGAACTTGACATTGGAAGTGGAATCCTGTTCAAAGGCAGGGCATGTTCAGCAGGCTCAAGGAGTCAAACACTCAGGGGTTCTCTGTGGCCATATGTTTAATTGTGCTGTAGGAAGCGGTACAATTGTGCAGTTAAAAGAGTGTGGCCTTTGGAACCAGACCTGGGTTGCACCCTGGCTCTCCTACTCACCAATTATGTGACCTTGGATGAGTGACTCAATCTCTCTTCCATTCTGTTTCCTCACCTGTGAAATAGAACACCTGCCTTGCAAGGTTGCTATCAGGTGTCAAGATGGGATATAGAGAGTGTGCATTCTAGCAGGCCTCTCAGACAGTAGTAAATGTTCTAAGCACATATGGTCCTTGTTCACTTGCAGGTTCTGATTCAGTAGGTCCGGCATGGGGCCTGAGGTTCTGCATTTCTAACAAGCTCCTAGGTGATACCAATAATGCTGGTCAGTGGTCCTCACTTTGAGTAGGATGCTGATATGTAGCCATGGGTCTCAACTTGGGCTGCACACTGAAATCTCTAGGAAAGCTTTGTAAACATCAATGCCTGGGACCCACTCCCAGAGATTCTGATGTATTTGGTCTAGGCGTGGTCTGGCTGAGGCCAATGTGCTGCTAAGATGGAGATCCACTGATCCACAAAGAATTCTTGTAGATCAAATGAGGGTTTGCTTGGTGACAATGGCTTTTAAAGCCAGGTTGCCTTGGTCTGCAGAGCAAGGCCCAGAACAAAACACTGTTCAAATTGAAATGTGGCTAGTTCTGAATTGAGATGTGAAGTGGAAAATACACATTGGATTTCCAAGGCTTAGTATGAAAGGTGAATATAAAATATCTCGATAAATTTTGTTATATTCGATTACATGTTATATATATATATAAAAATTAATATAATAGCCGGGCCGCAGTGGCTCAAAGCCTGGTAATCCCGAACTTTGGAGTCCGAACCGGGCGGATCACGAGGTCAGGAGATGCGAGACCATCCCTCGTTACAATGGTGAAACCCGTCTCTACTAAAAAGTACAAAAAAAACTAAGCCGGGCAAGGGTGGGGGCGCCCTGTCAGTCCCAGCCTACTGTGGAGGCTGAGGCAGGAAGACATGGCGTGAACCCGGGAGGCCCCGGAGCTTGTAGTGAGCTGAGATCTGGCCACTGCACTCCCAGCCTCGGCGCCCAGAGCGAAGACTCCATCTCAATAAAAAATAAAAAATAAATAAAATAATATAAATATTAATATATATTTAAGTGTCGTGTGTATATAAATATATTCTCTTCTTTTTTTTTTTTTTTAAAGAAAGAGTCTCACTCTTGTCGCCCAGAGTGGAATGGGCGTGGGCACAATCTTGAGCTTCACTGCAACCTCTGTTGCGATCCTGGTTCAAGGCAATTTTCGTGTCTCAAGGCCCAG